GTTCCCCTTTAACAAACAACATTAAATTACTGTGAATTGTTTATTTTTTCTAAGAATGTCATGATTTGATGATTTAATGGCGTTGGTGATGAAAAAAAATTGTGAAAGTTGTTGTGATTATGTCTTTAGTAAAATTTTGCACAGCTACGAAAATTAAAATTTTTTAATGACTTGAAATTCGTGAGATTTGGTCTATCACGCAATTATTGAATGGCACCATGTATTCGCGAAATATGGGTCTCATACGAAAAAAGATGGCAACTTTGCCTGTTGCACAGACCACCAGGCACAATCTTTAACTAGGTAATTTCTTTTGTGATTGAAAAGGAGTCATCAGCGGTAATTAGGGCATGTCGCGCCCAGGTCAAATCTCGTACTCATGATTTCCATTAGAAGAGCACATTGGATTATGAGAAAATCAATTATTATCAACACAAATGTTGTACATGCGTAGGGGACCATAGTTTTACAGTTGCTCTGTTTATTTACAAATAATCACTAAAAACAAAAGCAAAAATGGAATTTGGAATTTTGGAATAATTACATAGAAAATTGGGAATCCTGTGAAAAGGTTCAAACATGTATGACATTGTCAGAACTGAGTATGAAATCCAACTTCACAATGTGCTAGGGAATAGAAGAGCTCACATCATAAACTCTGTTATACATTAGAATGTCCATTAATTAGTATCACTTAACAAGCAGCCTGTCGGCTGAGATAGCTCCGCTGTTAGCAATGCACATGGCAATTAAAGAACAGAAGATATCATTAGAAAATGAACAAATCTGAGAGAGGTCCACATGTAGTACCTATATGTATAAAATATCAAAGCAATTGGACTTGCGGTTTTCAACAAGAAGTCGAAAATATCACTTTTTACCAAAAATTACAAAAATATTCATCAAAATTAGAGAATTAAAGATATCATTATGAAATGAACAAATCTGAGAGAGGTCCACATGTAGTACCTATATATGTAATATCAAAGCAATTGGACTTGCGGTTTTCAACAAGAAGTCGAAAATATCACTTTTTACCAAAAATTACAAAAATATTCACCGAAATTAAAGAATTAAAGATATCATTACAAAATGAACAAATCTGAGAGAGGTCCACATGTAGTACCTATATATGTAATATCAAAGCAATTGGACTTGCGGTTTTCAACAAGAAGTCGAAAATATCACTTTTTACCAAAAATGACAAAAATATTCACCAAAATTAGAGAATTAAAGATATCATTACAAAATGAACAAATCTGAGAGAGGTCCACATGTAGTACCTATATATGTAATATCAAAGCAATTGGACTTGCGGTTTTCAACAAGAAGTCGAAAATATCACTTTTTACTAAAAATGACAAAAATATTCACCAAAATTAGAGAATTGAAGATATCATCATGAAATGAACAAATCTAAGAGAGGTCTACCCAAGGTACATATACACCAAGTATCAAAGCATTCAGGCTTGTAGTTTTCAAGAAGAAGTCGAAAAAGTAAAACATTGACACGGACGACGACGACGGACAATCACTCATATGATAAGCTCCGCTCGACAAAGTCGACAGCGGAGCTAAAAACCATTCAGCATTTTGTTTACCAGAGATAACTTTTCAGCCAAAATGCCTGTGCTTACATTAATTAACCTGAGAGTTGTCACAATAAATTATCTCAATTTTACCAACAATGGTTAAGCCTAATTTCAAGTTACAACCAATTCATAAATCAGTTATCATATCCACAGAAAGGTGAATCAAAACATATGGAATTTTTAAAGTGATATTGCTATAAATTCCACGTATAATGGCTTATTTCAATTTACTACATGGAGCTGAACAAATTCATAATTTAAAAAAAAAATCTTCTACTTTTGTGGAATGATAAAAACAAGTTGATATTTGTCTTTGAATGTAGTTTGACAACTGGATAGTGACACCATTCGTTATTTTAATGAAATAAGCCTGAATAAACAAGTGTCTAGACATAATACACACTAACTCAAAGAAAGTCAGAGACAATATAGCCGATAATCATTCTAAACACTACTCTAACACAGCGCCACTGTTTGACAACAGAACTTTGTTGATAAAATCTTACCAGCTGTGCTTTTGATAATCTTTCAATTAATGTTTCAATAAATCACCAAACAAAACAAAAAGTTGCATGCTGCTCATATCAAACAGTTGAGATAAATCGATTTCCACTGAACTATCCACCATGGCTAAAACTATTATTTTTATAGCAGAAGGATACGTCAAAACAGTAGAAGAGTGAACAAAATACAGTAATAATCTACGCCTCAATTGTGTATTTTAATTATTATAAACTTGAAACGTTCATTATTCCAGTACACATCACACATTTAGTAATTCATTACATTAGACATGTATATTAAAGTGGACTTCTCTCATACTTTTGTATTAGTGGTATCCAGCACTGGAAAAACACAAACTATAAACAGTCATCAGTTGTAGCAGCACGTTCTCAATTGAACATTCATGCAAACATTTCTTAAAAAAGAAACTATGCTGTATATGAAAAAGGATCAATGTACACAGTAGATACAACATGAATGAGCAATCAGCTGATATACACTAGCAGGGTTGCCAAACTTTCAGAATGTCACTCAACCTTGAAAGTTTGACAACCTTCTGATGATTACCTGACAGCTAAAAAAATAACAATCTTAATCATAAAATCTGGCCTTGTTATTTGTAGGACAGATGAAGATGATAAAAGGCTAGTATTTATATGCAAATACATTGAAGAGTAAAATATATATTGAAACAGTCTACACCCCCCAAAAATGTGCATACAATTATTGCATTTCAGCAAACAACCATATATCATTCAGGTTTTATTTGAATAAACATTTCATAGAAGACTAAGTAGTCAGCTGTCAATACAATGAGTATAAAAATTAATTTTGTAAAACAATTTAGATTAATACCAAATCACAAAAATACGTAGATTTTAAAACAACTACACTTGTAAGTAGGTAATAAAGCTTTAGTAAGAGGATCAAAATTAGAAATAACTAATCAGCAAATTCTAAAATACAGTGATGTCATATATTTTTTATATAATAATATAATACGATAAAGTTGTATGGCATCAAAAAAAAAGTAACACTACTGGTTTGGGTATCCTTCTGACTGCCAAGGTTGTATACTAATTATAACTTTATACTGGTAATTAATAAACTAGTACATAAAAGATATATCACCTTAAAAAAAATCAATAGGCATATTTATTTTTGTAACTAAATGATCTCCAAACTGAAAGACATTGAAGTACAAATATTATGTTATTATCTCCCCAATGACAAGCTCTCCCCAATAACAAGCTACTGAAAATTGCTAACTAATTTTGCAAGGAACCTATTTACAAAAATTCAGTGAAGGTCCTGAAGTCAAAAAGTTCACATCAGGTTTTGGGAAATAATGTCCTCACAAACACAAACACAATTAGGTCATGTAAAATGCCTGGCAACAATGATACAATTCAGTGTTCACTTTTATCTATTTTTTCTTATTTTGCATTTCAATCAATTAAAACTACCGGGGTACATACTGGGAGAGAAATCTTAAAATGTCCTGGCATGAAAGAGGCAACAAAAAAAACAGAATGAACTATTATTCACAGTTCACTGAATCATGTTTATATACCGTACTCGACCGCGTTAGCGCCCAGGGGCCTCAACTCAGAAAATCACGATTTTGTAGGGGTGGGCGCTTACCCGAGCATGGGCACTAACGCGGTCGAGTACGGTACATATACAGCCTGATTATATGTAAATTAGATGGCTGTGATACTACTAGATGGTGAGAATGGACAGATAAATAAAATTAAATACTAAAACAGTCAAATCTGTGTATAGCTTCCTTAAATTGATCTATATATACAAGGTGGTCTTTATATGGAGGTAGGAATATTTTTTTCATGGATCACCAAACTCATACATTTGATAGAATATTTGTCTCAAAAATAAAGAGATGTTACTGTTGCAACAATTTATTAGATTAAAACACATTTTGATTTTTGAAATTAAAAATTATTTTATAAAAGAATACTAATTACTAATTATTTTGGTCTGTAAACACAGGTGAATCAGCAAAAAATATTGCTGAAAGGTAGTCATGTGGTCTTTATACATAGGCTGCTTATGTTATGTCGTGGGAGTTTGCGGAGTTCTTCACTGTTTTGAAAACATCATCTCTATTCTGCACATACGTAACTAGGGAAAAATGTATTAAAATTGCATCGCTCACTGTTCTTCAGAAGCGTGGTTGACAGACTGGGCCAGAAAGTGTTGAAAAATGTTGAATTAGTATTAAACAGTATCAGTTTAAAAAAAAACTGATGCATTTGCCTAGCAAACAAGTGTATGTTTGTTGTATGCCAAGTCAGAGGTACTGTTTGATGTCCCACACAGTACTAAGATCGCGCAAGATCCAGCAACTACAGCATTTTTTGTGAACCGGGTCACATGATCGACACATTTCATCAAAGTAAAAGCTCCACAAGAATATATTTTCATATATATGACAAGTTTCAATCACTATATCAGTATATTCTGTATGTGATTTTGAGACAGCTTTTGCATCTTCAATTATTTGCTAAGTTTTATTTTTGCTTATTACACTGATAGCTAAAAGCACTGAATTGAAACCCAGTCAATATTCATATTGAATAACAGAGGTGGGAGTTTTAACGGAACCTAGTAAATATCATGACAACATTAAATTTGCTCAAATAAAAAGCCTCTGATTATTTTTCCTTCCAAAATAAACAAATGAAAATAATTATGGTTTATATATAAGATTACAAATCATGACAAATGTCAGTAAATAAATAAATAATATTTAATAACAATGCTGCGGATTCGCTGATAAGTGGTCTTTTGTTCAAACCGTTTTGTTTTCTGACGGTTATGTTTGTATAGCAGGAAATTTATTATATTGATTTCTAAATAAACAAATAGTGTGACTATACTTACTCTACGGGAAACCAGTCGCTGCAAAGACGTTTCACCTCAATCTGGTCTTCGGGGCACAAAAACCGCAAGTGTACACTGGTGTTGCTTCGAAGATCACATATGCTCGCACTGCCAGTTTTTGTGATGCACTTCATTGTGCAACAAAACACATCGACTTTTGAAATCGATGGGAAATATCGTTTCAAACAACGTTGTTAGTTGCTGCGTCTGCTGCGATGAGCTAGACCTCGTAAGAAATTAAAATATACTGCCAAGGAGAAGCTCACATGGTAACATCCAAGAGCGTCTTCGCAGTTCTACCACGTACAGTAGTGGATGTTGTTTACAATACTTCAGCGAAAAATGGATCGTGCAATGACGGGGTTGACTTGAGGACGCAGACCTTTATCGCGAGTGCTCCACCAAAACACGTCTCTTTCCTGACCAAACCAAGAAAATACCACCACAACAACAAGATGACGTAACGGTACGATATACGTGCACAACAAATTGCGATACTCCGCTCCAAAACGGCAATTACATCACGAAGAATTTCGTGTGAAACATATTACATCCTCGGATACAGTGCGTGGTTTGCCTTTATAGATCATTTCTACCTTGATGCTTGTACGCAGAATCAATAACCTCTACACACATGACCCTTTAACTTTGTTAAATTTATGGCAAACAATTCATTTAAAACAACGTAAATTGCTTTGCGCAATTTTGACACTGTCCAACCATAAAAGATTTAATCTTTATAAATTTACAACATAGAATTGGTTACCAAGTTTCGCATCAATTGTATAATTTCAGGTTAAAATTGTCTAATTCCGTACTATCTTGGAGGGTCTTAAAATCAGGTGATAATCAAAATGGCAGCCCCCATGAATAGCGTCGCTGGATTTAAAGGTGAATATCTCGCTTATCAAATCGTAAATGTGATGTAATGCTTTTCTAGTTTAAATTACCAATATTCCAATAGTTTTCAAAGATAGCATTCTAGTGCTTTCGGAGTGTGATCAAAACGAAGATTGTATGTTTGAACACAGTCACTCGACTACGACTCTCCTAGCAGTGACTATTTGAAAGAAGTGTCTGGACCAGACTGTGATTGTGAACTTGGAATGATTATTTGTTTGTCTATAGTTAAAACAACATTCAGATGTGTATGATTCTTGAAATACAATGTATATCCACAGTGCCGCATTTAGAATTTAAATGTGCACACACGACCCACGAACGTGTCAACATCAACAGCGCCCTCTTGTGATGTACCTAGTTTAAGCAATGCGGCTCGTAAAATTTACTGGTTTATGCTGGTTTGTAAAATTGTTGAAAGACAAAATTATTCATCAGAAATAGAAAACTGGCTCACTGATTAACAACATTTTTGCTAATGTGACTGTGCTGATATTTCAGTGTGTCAGTATGTATCATTTTGTTTGATTAACTTTGCCATTTATTATATAGTTATACAATTATAAATATAATAACATGTTGGTGTCCAAACTTGAACATATGGACAGTGCCAACCAAAATGAGTACTGGTCTGTGCTGAAAAGCCTACGTAATCAAAAGACCAAAAATCAAGACAACAATATCCGGAAAAAATTGGATTGATCATTTTTCAAAACTCTATAATAAAACAAACATTAAAAATCATGAGTTACAAAATAATCTTATAGAAAAAGAAATGCGACAAATTCCCAACCAATATCTAAACTCAAATATCACATACAAAGAAATTCTTAGCGCTGTTAGCAAACTAAAAAACAATAAATCAGCTGCTGATGACAGCATTGCCAATGAAATGTTGAAAACCAAAAATAAGTTAATGATAAGATGTTTACAGAAACTTTTCAACTGTATTCTAGATAGTGGAAAATTTCCTGCAACCTGGAAATCTACGATTCTTGTTCCACTACACAAATCAGGCGACAAATTAAATCTTGGTAATTATAGAGCTATTGCATTAACAAGTTGTCTCTCAAAACTATTTACTGGCATAATGAATCAAAGATTGACCACATAC